AGTGGGTAAATATAAGACGTCTCGGTTCCCCCTCGCGGGCTTAATTGCCCCTCTATTGTTCCGCCTGATTTGATTCTGTATCTCTCTATAGGGCACAATCATAATAACGGGCTTAGCGGCCGCCCACCACTGCGTATCAGAAGGTTGTAGCTGATATCTCATATTACAGATTAACAAGAAATGTACAAGACTTCTCCATAAACTATCTTACAAATAAAAAAAACACAGTCAATCAATTTTTATATTTCTATTGAAAAATAATAAATACTACAAAATCAATAAATAGAATAAAATTAATAACATTAACAAAGTTTGACGTATTTGACTATGCTGGATTTAAAAGAAAAATAGCCTATTTATCAAAATCTCAATGATATGAAATTTAAATGATATTAGTTCTTCTCACAAACCTGCATGTTTTTGTATTTCTATTTTAGTTATTATAACATATAGTCAAATAAAATCCTCCAAACATCCTGAACTGAAGTCCAATGCACTGGCAAGATATCAGTTCCGCGCGTATGCGCCGGCAGCGGCGTGTCATGCACACTCTTTCCCTGACAATTTCAACAAACAACAACTTGCTCCTAATTGTGTTTGCAATTCCTTTAGAAAGCTCTTTTGACTCCACTCCAATTGTGAAAACTCGTTTTGAAACGACGTTAAATACGACCGAATTTCAGATAATTAACTCAGATTACGGTCTTTCAGCGTATAATTCGCTTTTGTTGCAGAAAATTTGAAGAAAAGCTAATGTTGACACAATATTATAATACAAGTAAGTACAATACCAGCGCTCACACAATATAACTTTGAATCTATGTTCCGAAGTTCAATAAAAATTTACAATGCGGCCAACCAATTAATGTTGAAGTTTAAACAATAGTAAATTCATATAACCTACTGAATGCTAAAAACAATAATTCGGCCACCATGCGAATATATTCAATATGGAGTAAGTTAAAGCCGATGCAAATTCGGGAAAAGCTATTATAATCTGGAACGCACACCGGTGGACGCTCTTTTCATTGGATGCCTTTTGTTGGTGGATTCAATTAAGTTTACATCGACGCCGAGGTCAGTTAATAAAAACCGAAGCCTACAAAAATTGATGCGTAAATCAAATTCAATAAAGTGCAGCACAATAGAGCGGGAAAGCGCATCTGAAACGACGCCGTCAAACAATGATACGTTCACCCTGCTACAATAACATTACAATACAGTGATGGATTTTTTATTGCACCATTAATAAATAATCGAAATTGTTTTTGATTAAAGTGTGAAATAATTAATCTATATATTTTAAAATTGTATAGTACAGTGATTGAAGAAAGTAATAGGAGAGATTTGATTAAAAATTTGTTGAAATCAGTCATTATTAAAATCTTTGCGTGACAAAAGGTAAATAAATAATTTACCTACCTAATATACTTACAACCTAAGTTGTAATAATCTAAATCATCTAATCATAATCTAAATTATAACTTACTACTATAATCTTAAATATGATAATACCAAAACAATAGTTGACGAATACCAGAGGTATTGTTGTCAACATTCACTTTACCTTAAATAAAACCTTTCTTATTTTATGAGGCCCTTCGGAAATTGCACACGTAATAATATTATACTGATTGTGCACAATCACCCTTTTACATTAAAATTCTCGTCTACCTTCCCACGTCTCCGAATTAATCGCCCGAGAGCCGCTCTCTATTAAAGTTTGCGAAAGTTGTTTAAGAGGCTCAACTCCCTTAAAACTCTGCAGATAATGTTAAACATTCATTCGAGTGCCAGCTCTGCCCAACTTTCAAATCGTCGAATAAATCTTCTAATTCTTCAAGTGTTTAATATTCATATCAAGGTTGGCTCGCGTCACGGCGCGCGCCGCTGCACTGTACGTGTGAGTCTCGCAGTAACTGGTCTCATCTAAAGATTAGGTATATAGTAAGTACTGAAAATGTATGAGTTTAATTTATGTAAGTAAAAATTACAGTGTTATTTGATTAATAATAATAAATAATTTTTATTAGCATATACTAAAAATATTAAGACGTTTTATATAGAGATATTTTCATTAGTTTATTATACATATTTATTTTTATTTTAGTTATTTATTTAACACTTTATTGCACTAATATTACAGGACTTGTTGAAGAATTTTCAATAACTATAGTGTAGTACAGAAGGCGGGCATATTGGTAAGCCATCTCTTCCAGAGTACCTTTGGGGAGGAGGAATTAGAAAATACATAGATAGGTGACGCGTTAAAAAAATGATCTAAACATGTGTAAATAAGCACAATTATATTCATGCATAAATACATATTATGATAATACAGAATAACTAAACTAAATAGAAACTAAAAATTTTATTTTTATAATGTGATGTTACTATTAAGAGTATTAAGTAGCGAAAGTCATTTTGCTATAATAAAAAAAAAGCACACGCATACGCATATAGTTAATTAAAATAAATAAAAAATAAAATAAAAATACAAACATATATGCCTATGAATGTGCTTTCACTGCTTTGTTTTTAGAAGCCTATCTCGAAGTAGCAAATGTTCATATTAGGGGAACGATAAAATAAAATTTGAATGGCATCTCGGCTCCATTACAATTCCGGTGAGATAGGTCTCCGGGGGCGCACGGTAGTAGAACGGCATCGAGTCTTCGAAACGTTAGCCCCAAGTTTGCTAACTTTTATCTAATAACACTTTGAAGACACTCCTTTCTTTCTTCACAGAAACATGGAGTAGAAAGTGGAGAAAATTCTGTTACAGCAAGACAGTTTATTATGGAATAAAACCTAATTTCTGCAGGTCACCAGAAGGTTTTAACTTTAACCTTTACCTTTTCACGATCTTTTTGGCATATATGCTGACGATATTTTATTTTATATACTTCAATAAGAGATTGCATATTATAAAGAATTATATATATATATATATATATATATATATATATATATATATCATCACATTAACCGAATATATATTTTTTATATTAAGAAAAATCGCCAAAATTTAAACATACAGAATATATATTATCAAATCATTAGTATACAATTAGTCAAGTGTGTAAATACAACATAATTAATGCATCAAAAAATTATTTTACTCATACGACAACATACAATAAAGTTTCATTGAAAAACTTGCAGATACTACATAGCACCGAGATCTATTCTATAAATTTTTTTCGAAATTACCAATTATAAACTACTGAAAATAATTCTATTATGTCAATTATTTCCTTGTAAATTAAAGTTAAATGCATTGTTTATTTTTATCTAATCTTTAAATCAATTCATGGCGTAATTATTAAAATAATCAATTTGTAATAAGTTCATACCTCTTACTGTCACCTGGATCAACATTCATTACTTAGTGGTTTACTGAAAGATTTAGTCACACATAATATGACTAGTAAACTTGTCTAAAAGCTCGCTAAACGTTTACGATGGCGATAAGGGTTTTAGGTAGATTATGGTACTGAATACACAGTCATAGTGGATGTAAAATAGTGTTGCACTGTAGTCATACATAGTATTTTAGTAATAAATTTAACAATAAAAATATGACTAGTGTAATAATTCTTTGTAACTGCACTCTTAAACTCATACTTATTCCTTCGAAAAACGGAAAAAATATTTATTTTTATTTATGATTTTTTTAAGAAAAAATATTTTTAAACTTTTAATTTTTTTTTAATTTAGTAAAAGTAAAATTGACGTTCTAAATATAATATATTAAATAAGTATTAAATTTACAGAAATATTTAAACTTGTTCAAATTTGATGATATTTAACCAAATCCAATATCATTTTATAGTTAGTCAAAACAATAAAATCAGCGAATGCAATTAATAGCTGCTTCGATTATATATTCGTACGATGATAATAAAATGAAGTTTTTTTAAAAAAAATATAACGTTATAAACTCGATAATTAAATATTTGAATTCATTGAATGAAACGAGACTACTCATAGGAGGTGTAAAGCAATTGCGGAAAGCCGCCAAAACACGTAGCTCGTTCATTCGGGTCGTTACACCAACACCAACGTGTTTGGACACCTACAAACTTTAACTTCGCATAGAGAATGAGAGCTTTAAAGAGATATAAGAAGCACGAGGAGAGATCTTGATAGTATGGACGTGTTATAGCCGTCTGAGCAAGTCGTTTTGACGTCGCCACATCAGCGGTTCGGGTACAATCTTTCCACTCATTTGTGGGTTATACTCGTATCACGATGTTAGTGTTCTTTCAAATGGTGCCGAGGACTAATCGTAAAATATACTTAGTAACATCTATTACCGGCACTACAATTTGATTTTATTAGAATGTATTAATGTAGCTCATAAATATACTATAAAATGTATAAAACATTATTAAAATCGGTTTTCTAAAACTCGTAGAGGTATAATAGAATATAATTTACTTTAATGTTTTATGCATTGTACGATTTAAAATCTGAAAAATCGCAAAGCTCCAGTAAACGCGACCGCCCAAGTCATGTTGCTGTCCACAGTTTAAAATAAACGACCCTTTTTGTATTCTTGGAATATTTTTTTAAATGACAATAAAATACTGAGTGTATTAATAAAGTGTTCTTAAATACTCCTGAAATCATTATTTGTTATGCTATGTAAGAATATCTGTAAAACAAGCTATTAAATTTGCAAACTCATTCTTTTCCCTTTATTGGGTATAATACATCTTAGCTTAGATGCGATTCTGATTAATGCCTTAAACTCAAGTCTCTGCAACTTTGTTAGAGATAGCGGTGAAAAATAAAGGGACGTGACTCGACTAATTCGCTTTTTACGACAACGGGAGGTAAAAGAGTAATGGCAGTTTTAAAAAATCTCGTGATTTAAAGAGGCTGACATATTTTTTTATTCATAATTCAGCCTCCCGTATTACCTTGTCAGACAATTTGTTAAAAAATTGTTAAAATCTGTCTATCGTTCTTCTTTTAAAAATCTGGAATGTCAAGCTCTTACGTTTATATGTCAGCATATTATTTTCTTGATAATTTTGTATATTTTCATAAAAATATGATATTTAGACTATTACTCTCATTATTTTGCGGTAAGTTTACATTAAAATATAGTAATGATTTCATCTGTCTGTTAAAAAAAGCAACAGTTGAGTTTCATGCCCGTTTTTCTTAGCTGAAATTTCAGAGTAGACTAAAGTACTTAAATTTAAGTTCACCTAAATTTCTTTATTTTTATCATACTACAAATTCGACTGAATAACTGTATTTTTATTTCTTTGCAGTCTTCTTTTTAGCTAAGGCCGATGGGGAGACCGAGATCAAGAGAGGAACATTTCCTTTTATGGTAAGCGCTATAAATTATTTATAAAATATTCCTATATACTTAACAATAGCCAATTATCTCCTTAAACAAATTATGTATTGATATATCATAAATATGTTTATGAATTTATTTAATTTAAACTACATCTAATATTTGCAAATATTTATCTAATATTGCTTTTAAAATTTTCTCTTCTCAAATTTTGTAAAAGTGTAGATACACCATTCATGTAGGGGAATATTTATTACATTATATTATTAATATTATTTCTTCAGTTTGATTTTTATTATATTTATTGTTATTTGTAATTGATATTTACTCACTTATATTGTTATTTTACGGAAAAGATTATGGGGAATAGAGAGAAATATAACAGGAAATCAAAATTGGTGAAAGTGCAGAAAGATGATGATAATGTCAGTCTGTCGTCATCATCATCAGCATTTCAACAATTATCTGTTCAGTGCTGAACATAGGCCTTCCCCATAGACTAAGAACCACCATAGATAAGGAACGGTTCTGAACCACCTGTATCCACTGACTCTACAATGCAATCGACTCGTCACTCTAACTAATGAGGTGTTATCCTACACTGCGTTTGCCGGAAAGGGGTCGCCACTCAAGTAACTTTCTTCCTGATGATAGTCTTATAACTACCTGAAAATTATTGTCAAGATATTAAAAAATAAATAAAAATATATTTATTGATAAACACAGTACCCAAGCAAAAAATATCTGCTACGATAATAAAAAATTGTAATATAATAATAAATGCATATCTGACATATATATTTATATTATAATTTTTTGTATATGCATTTATTTATTCTTATTGCCATCTTTATAAATTTTTTTCTATGGTGTTTTAATTACCCATTAAATAAGAAAGACAATACACTTGTAAAAATTGATATTTTTCTAGGCTTATATTTACTATCCTGACGAGACAATACTAGACGCGTTTGGCAACCGTTTTCTTCGAGGAGGAGTTCTGATCAAAACCGATTGGCTGATCACTTCGGGAATTCAGCTTAGTGGTGTCAACGGTACTCCTGTCGGATTCCCGCTAAAGACCTTACTAGCTAGACTTGGAGCAATTACAATTGATCCGGAGTTTACAGTAAACGAAGATGAGGATGAACAAGAACGAGAGGTATACATTGAGCGTAATTGAAATTAAGCGTAAGATTGTATTTTAGGCACAATTTTTCTCAATGGGTTAAAAATGAAATAAAATTTTGTGCTTTCAATACTAAAATGACAGCTGGATGCGACATGTTAATTTAGGAAGTATATATTTTTTGCCATTTTTCGATTCAAATTTTATTTAAATAATTAAATTGTGCTTTATACGAGTAAAAAACCCGACTACATTGTGGTAAAACCAGTTATTTTGATTTAAAAATTAAACTACTGAACCGACTTTAATGAGACCAATCTGTAAATATATCCTTTTAGAATTTTAAAAAGATATTTCCAAATCGGTTTACACCTAACGGAGTTATGAGATAACAAATATAAAAAAACCGAATTGAAAACCTTCTTTTTGTAATCGGTTGAAAAACGTTCGCTCTTATTGATTGTAAAGTAAGTATTCAGAATACTTTAGTATTTTAAAAAGAATTTAAATCATTTCGCGTTCAACTTTTATAACCACATAATATTAAACGACACCGAATACATAATCTTTGTTAATCCAGTCATAAGAACTACTCGCACCTATATACCATTCAATCATCAATTATGTTAAATTATAAAATTATTATCCAACAATTCACAAAAAACAAATTCCAATCGTGACAAAACCAGTAATTCAGGATTTAAAAATTAAATTACTGAATCGATTTTGATATAATGTCTGTGATTTATAAATAACAGATTTATGAAGTAAATAATATAAAAAAAAATTGCAATCGAATTGCGTAACTCCTCCTTTTTGTGAAGTCGGTTGCAAATGATAGTTTCAAAATGGATTTAGACTAAATGGCACAACTAATGGATAGTCAGGCTGAAATATTAATAATGGAGATTACATAACAAACAACGTGCTAAACAGTTCTAAAGAATGCTCTTAATACGTAAACATAAAAAGTAGAACGTATGAGAAAAACTTGGATTCGTACGGTTGGTTTAAATCCACTGTCACAAATTAATTAGTTTATTATATTCAGGTCATACAAATAGTCCGTCCATACAACCATAGTGCGACATTGTGGTGGCGTACAGATGTCACCCTTATGAAGACTCTTTTGCCCTTCAATTTAACCTCTGCCGTGTCTCCAACTACGCTGACGTTTAGACATGATATTCCTGAGAAGACTTGCAATATATTGATTTATGCGGTAATATTTTTTTTTTATATGTACGACTTCTTGAATTAATTCTCATTTAAAAAATATGACTTTTATATAGGAGAAAGTTATATAAAAATCCTGAGTTATAATATTCGTTCACGCTAATCTTTGAAACCTCAGTGATTGATATTTGTTACTTTATCGTGTAAAAATTGCTAAACAGATTTGAATGAAATTTAATACACAAATAGGTTGCTCTAACTTAGAACATAGCATACTTTATATACTAATTCATGCAAACGAAGCCGTGATATACAGCTAATGTAATATATTCCTTTAATGATACCTCTATGTTATAAATCCTGAAGTTGCTATTTTAATAATATTAGTATCTTATTTTTTTTTAAACACAGTGGTCAAACGAGCATGCGGCTCACCTGATGGTAAGTGACTACTGCCGCCTATGATCGCTGCCGGCTTGTATTTATTTAAGATTAACTATTTATCCACGTATTAAACTTCGTTCAAATTTTATCAGTCGTTTAAACGTGAATCTATTCATTAATTTAGTTGTAAAATAACACTTTATACTAATGGACGATATGAGCAATACAGTAACTTATGAGAAATACATACTCTGCAGTTCATAGTAATATTCATAGACTACACACATACACACACAAACACACATATTGTGTGTGCACGCATATGTTTGTGTGGTGTATGAAGCCTAGTGGTATTGTTCCATCAATTAAGCCAATACCATTTACATTATTAAGAACCATAATTTTTTGAAGTAAAAAAGGACTCTTTCTTTTTTTATACAACTTAGAATACAATAGCAATAAAAGAATAAGCTGACGGCCCACCTGATGGAAAGTGGTAACCGTCACCTATAGACATGAGCAGTACCATGGACATAACAGAGTATACTGTTTCGTCCATGATAGCCCCCATACGTTGCCATTCCTAAGGACTCAGGTGTTATTCTTCTGTACCCAGTAAATTCACGCTATATCCTTCCACCCTTCAAACCGAAACACAGCTATGCAAACACAACTCCTTCACGGTTGAAACACGACAGAGGTACCCAAGCAATCGACTTTTGTACAAAGTCTCCTAATAGCAAGCTAATACGCACTAGAACCAAAGAACTTTTAAAAAATAATATTTGTAATAAGAGAAAATTATACGTTAGAGAAAGAAGAAAAAAAGTAGTAGGAACTAAAAGTAATAAGCAAATTTTATTATTATAGAAAAAAGACGGAAACTGGACTGATGATAGGATCCTAACGCAACTGGCTGTGAAGATGTTACCGCCGTCGATTGAAAATTGTGGCAGTAGCTTTTTTGCCCCCACCATGATGTGCGCTGGCGACAGCAATCACAAGAAATTTTTAGATAATAATCCGGAATTTTGCGTGGTATGTAAAATAAATTTGAAAAAGTTACCCTGTAGGTCCCAACATAGAATAGGCCACTCCTTCCTTTCCCATGAGTATCGTAATAGTCGACTAAGGGAGCTCATGGTCGAACCAAAAGCCAAACTGCGATTGCCAATCCACCTGCCAAGTGTGACAATTACTGGCAAAACCCTTCTATGGGGAAGGCTATGTTCAGCAGTGGACAGTTAATGCTGATACAATATAAAAAAGTGAATTATATTTCAGTTTAACATGATAAAATTAGACTGTATGTTTTTAATTCGTTTCTGTTCTCTGTATATGCCTATCACAGAAAATTATCGTAGAAAGTGATAGATGTGGTAACGTGATTTTTATTTGCGAGTAACATAGTTGTTTATAATGCTGCTTTAGGTAATAACTCATAGCATTTAAATTCTGCGAAAACTATGTAAAAACTGAAAGTACTCGTATAAGGATTAATTTCTGTGAAAGTAATTTAAAAAATTAAACAACTATTAACCTTAAATTTACATCCAAGTCAGGGTCTCCAAGACATCTATTTAATTTACTTGAAAATTTTAACGATTATTATACTCATAGGGAAATAGCGGTGGGCCCTTGATTTGCGAGAATGAAGTAGTTGGTCTCCAAACATACATTGGCAATAATTGCGAGCAACCTCACCTTTATCAACTTATATCCGCATGGGAGAACCTAATATTCTGTAGTACAGAAGATAACTGCGGAGAAAAACATTGCGCCAACGTTTGCGTTGTAACAAACAAGGATTCTATAAAAGAAACAGATGTAGTGACATCCCCAGAAACGACGATAAATATGCTGAATTTATCATCTAAATTGATAAAAGAAGAAACAATTGATTTGAAAGAGACTGATATAACTGTAGGAAGCAGCTTCATGCCTATGGTCCCAACTAAAACAAGAGCCACTGAACAAATATATTCTACGATTTCAACTACAATCCAGATAGTGACAGAATCTAGTTCTAAAAGTACTATAAAGACTATAGAAGAAAGTGAGACAAAATTATGGCCTAAAGAAAAAAAATCTGACTTACGTAAGAAATTTGACGAAGAGGAATCAGATAAAATAGAAAGGAAATTGAATACAGAAGCTCAACATCAAAACGTATCAAAAAAAGTTCGAAGTGCTGCAGAAAGAAATGCTTACTTTTATCAAAGCTTTTTCCATATTATTATGGTTTTTTGTTTCATTTAATTGACTTTAATTTGTGTGTTATTTTGCATTAAATTATTTTTGATTAATATTTTATTGTTATATTTTGTTTGTATTGATGTATATAAAAAAATAAATTAGCTAATTAATACCAAATCCGATATTGCAGAATCGTTGTTGCGTACCTAATTGAGTACTAAGATGAGGCCATGTAGTCCCGTCGTAGAATAGGCCACCCCTTCCTATCCCGTGGGTGTCGTAAGATCCGGTTAAGGGAGGGCGAGGGATAGGCAGCAGTGTTCCTCTCAAAACACCTCTAAAGCATAACTGCAGTTGCCAATTCGCCTACCAAGCATGGCAACTACTGGCTAAACCCCCCAAGGGGAGGCTTGTGTTCAGCAATGGACAGTTAAAGACTGATATGATGATGAGGGGAGAAAGGGATTGTTAGTAATGAGATTACTAACAGTTCCATTGCTAGCAATGTACCCTATCAGGTCGAACTCCACATGGTTCCCCCTGGAAACCATTATGGTTAATTCTCACGAAATTCCTCACGATAAGTTAACTGACCTGCTTTTACTTATCACTTCTCATTGGTACCCCGCCAGTGTATACCGATAGCGAATTTGGGGTTACCATTCCATTTTCACCTATTAAAAATAAAGATATAATAATGATGATAAGACTTTTTAAAACCCTACAAAGTAATATATATAATTTTGTTTACAAATTCTTAATATAAAACGAAATGAAATTAAGTAAGTATTAATCATCGTGTATTATATATACTATATTTGTTCCTAAATAGTCGATCCATAATATTTCATTATAATACATGCACCAATGCGGCACCGCGGATGCGATGTAGAAGTTTGGCGAATAAGTAGAATTAAGTAAGGTTGTAACTTTAACGCCTCCACTGCTTACTCTAATAGCATTAACAAGTTTCCAGACCGTATTGAAGGAATATTTACACTTGGTCTTACTTAAATATCTACTACGGTATTTTAGCATGAAAATTTTATTAGGCTCTGATTATAAATACTATTTTTTTTTATAAATAGAGATTAAATGATATATATGATTATGAATGTGTAAATAAATTGCGGTACAAATAATTTGCTGATTGTATTCCTCTTGTGTAAAGATTGAAGATTCTATGTAATGGTATAGTATGATTCATGGTATTGCTCATGTCTATAGGCGGCGGTTACCACTTTTCATCAGGTGAGCCGTCAGCTTGTTTGCCATTCTAAGTTCTATAAAAAATGTAAACATTTATAATGCATTCATCTAAAAATATACAATTTTTGTTATAATTTTGAAATAAATTTGCAAAATAACTAAATACGGTCAACTCGAACATACTTAATGAATTCAATGCCATATTATATCAGGGAGGCCAATGTTTAACATGGCATTTTTAATTCTTTCACATCATAACATAAATGTTCTACCTTGTTAAAAATGAAACCTCGAGGTTGGTGTCTTAATGATCTTATTAAAAGTAAAAGCTGCTCTTCGAAGTATGGTATTTAATATTTAGAAACTCACATTGGAGCGAGTCTGTAATTACCATATCGGGTGGCAGTCTCGAGCAGCTTAATCCTGGGGCGTTCGGGACCGCATGGCTCGGAAGCAGGACAATTTACATTTTCACAAGTCGTGGTTAAGTACACTTAACTTCCAAGTCCACAAGCCTCCTGTAATTTGTTTTAAAGTCTTATACCCTTGTTAAATGCACATTAATGTCTAAAATAGTTTGCATGTTTGTTTACTTTAAAATGGCGGACCTTCAAAGCTTTTATTATATAAAAGTCGTTTATTTAAATAATTATTTTTATGGATAGATATCATACTCGTATTCTATACACTAGCTTAACTAAATCTATTTACGTAGACCCTGCCTGCTATATAAACTATTCAGAATACAGCAAACATTATTCTAATAGGTTGTTTGATATGATAGCCAAATATTTTTATTTGTATTACAAAAAAGAGCCCACAAGTCGTAATGAAAAGTGGTAACTAATGAACTGAGAATATCGCAAAATATATGACATATACTCATGTGTAGCCACAAAGGTATTATGCCTCCATACTCTTTAATCTCACTGCCATATCCCAATCCCAATCAACAAAATAAACGAAACATAACATGAATATACGAGTGGTATACAAATAAATAAGAGATGAGAGATTTTCAAGAATGCGGCGACAAAAACTAGAGAATGTTATAGAATTGTAGTAAGCAAATATTCTATCAATAGTTTTAAGTATTTTGTGTTTAATGCGTACTTAGATATAAATATACTGACGTATTTGCAAATTACAGTTAGATGCCCTGACACTCTTACTGCAATCTATCATAAATAGTAATAAACGTGTTATAAGAATGAACTATCCTTTACATTTTTAAATAATACTAGTAGAAAACCCTGTAATGCCAAATTCTTTTGAAGTGAATAACATTTTCTTCCCGAACTTCTCTAGTGCACTGAATTGAAATGTATCTTAATACGACTCGATGTGTTTAAATTCCAAAAGGGGATCGCATCGGAAAACTGTTATGCATATTTTAAAGTTAAATTTACTTACAGCGGACTCACGGCGCCGAATGAGAATATCTCTTGAGAAACTTTAAAATGTTTTATGATATTCAACGGACGTGATAACGGTAAATTCAAGAATAACCCACTCGATCGAAATGAATATAAAACGGCTGCATTTAAATTTATCGATGATATGAATAAGGCAAATTCATCACACATTTTTCAAACGCTCATTTAAAACGCCTGTTCGTTTTGATAGAGCAATAGTCACGAATGCTATGTTTTTCTAGTCAATTCCAACACTAAGGAATTCCTATTTTGTTTCAAAATGAGTATGAATATTATAAAATCTGCAAAATAAATATGCTTACAGCTTAATCCTAAATGGGGTAGTCACAAGTTCACATTTGTATGTCTATTGTATATATGTATAGAAGGGGGAGATCTTAGTTCAGCAGTGGACAGGTAATGGCTTAATTGATGATGATAATGTATTTGTATTGTACCTTTGTATCATCTTAGTTACTTAATAATGGCTATATTTATTTAATCCATTTCCGTTATATTATTCTTTTTATTTATATTATTTTATCATATAGCATTTAGGCCAATTTTTTTTTATAAAAATCATTATATAACCTTAGTATATAAAGTAGTAGTAGTAATAGTAATGTAATCAAATACATGTACCTAGTTCAATTTTATTTTTTTAATATAATAATTAAAATTATTTAAAATAACCACTTGTATATGAAGTAAAAACAAAGCACAAAATTTTACATTTCTTGTTGCTAGATTGAGTTAACAAACAACACTAATTAATTTAGCAATACCATAAAAAGAAATAAGCAGTTCATAAAACTTTTAATTATTAAAACTCAAATAAAATACGTGCCCCTTGGGTGCTAGCGGCCAAACTTATTTGAACCCATGCGTACAAGTTTTAGGATAAAAAATAAAACAAAAAACCAACACAGTACTCTGTCAGAGGTCTTATTATACTGGACAATGTACAGGAGTACTCGCTATTTCCTCGGATAAATCCCACGACGTAGGGTAAAAGAACTGACAACTGTCGTTAACTCATCCTGACCGGGTATTAAGGAGTGTAAACAGGGAATAGCTCGTAAAAATAATAGCTCGTCTATTTATTATCATAAAGATAAAAAATTTACTTTCTTTTGTTACGCTCTTTCTGTTTGTTAGATATAAATATTTACATTGTTTTTTTTTTTCAGATTGTAATAGAGAAGAAATAATTATGGATTCTGTAACTTTATACGCGTAGATTTTGGTGGGTACTCATTCCTTTTACTTATCCTTATATTGTGTGTTCATATCTATATATAAATCAATATAATTACGTAAGTAATTGATCTTATGAGTCTATAAATATGGAATTGATTGACAACATATTAAAACTTGAATAAGAAAATCAATCATACACACAATAAAACGTCTCAAAGAATAACAGAATCATGAAATGTGTTGCCGCGGCGTCGCCTGTAGGCAATTTTCAATCTCTTTCCTATTTGTGACAGTAATAAAGCGGCCGGGAAAAGTCAACAATCAATTTTGTATTTCAATTTATTCCCAACCATCCTAGTTCGTACGGTGATAAGAAAAAGAAAAACGCGTTCATTGAAAACGGAAATTATTGCAAGAAGCCATCAGTGGTGTGCGCCCGGCTTCCTATGCTGCTTTCCTATTTTATTTTCATTTTTTTTGTCGAATGGGCTCGCAGTTTTGATTTGTGGGCCGTCGCATCGGTCGGTGCCATTTTTCACGCGCCTCATTGTGTCGTTCACGCTCAACGAACCCAACTGCGGAGGTTTGCTCGCGCGTCACAACTCACACCTTTATTTGTGGATCGCGCAATTTGAATATGTGTTGTTCATGACACCGTGTAACAGATCTGCCACAGTCCAACTGAAAATATATCTAATATAGAGTTCTTGTATAAAATTTAATTAGCGATTTAATAGTGCTTTTGATTTATTGCGTGCGGTTACACGGTTATGTTTGTACTGGCGAAATTAAAGATGGCATCGATAACAATTCTATCAGGCTGCGCTCGGCCGACAATGAGGGTGGGCGGGGTGCCGGGAAATTGGGGTGATTTTTCTCCTCTGTGCACGTCCGCTTGTAAGTAGCGTCAACAACGATGTTAAAAACAATTTAAAAATAATGTCACTATACTTAGTAACTGTTGTTTGTGACTTCGTTCACATATTTTTAATGATACAGAGCTTTTTAAATATTTGAATTTTTATACAAACTGCAAAATTTAAAGAACCCGTAATACTTATGTATTACGTATATATATTCTGCATTACATTTACTCAAATATGCACGAGAAACAGCATATTTATCGATATATATAAATTTTATCTATGTGAACAGTATTCAATAAATCTACTTCTGACGACATCTACACTAACATTATAAAGAGGAAAGATGTGGTTTCTGTATGTTTGTTTGTAATGGATAATCTCAAAAATTACTTAACCGATTTCAAAATACTTTCACCTACATTATAAGTGAGTAATGTAGGTTATATTTTTATTTTATTTTACTTTAAAAAATACTAGAAATATTTACGAAGATTATAACAATGTATTAAAAACTTATCCGTATGGTTTCGGCATAGAATATGTCACCCATTTCTTTCTCGTCGGTATTGTAAAAGGCAACTAGGGTAACTTAATTGAGAAATGGGTAGCAAAGTCTCTCTTAAAACATCACCAAATCCTAACTGTGGTTACCGATCCGCCTGCCAGGCGTGGTTACTATTGGCAAAACCCCCCAAGGGGGAGGCTTATGTTCAGCAGTTGACAGTTAAAGGCTGATATAATGATTAAAAACTTGCCTATTAAAGCTAATATAAAATACAAATTTAATTTACTATCTACCTACTCGTATCTATATTGGGCAGATAGTAAGTAATTTATACATATTTGAGGTAATTCATAATAATTGATGCCTTTGCGGCAAATTCAAAGTTAAGTGAAAATTAAGATAGTAATCATAATAATATGATTACTGGGATTCTTTAGTTTTAAGTTTTACGTTCCTGCTAGTCAATTAGTGTTGATATTTTTAAATAACTTTAAAAATGTTCTCATTCGACTGTATGTTTAACAATTCTAGAAATCCATTTGGATATGACAGCAGCAGGGCTCCGCTGTGATGTCCTTTCCACGATTGCCTCACTTCTTTAATTGAAAGGATTTATTATTGTGCTGGTCCCGTACCTTTTTATAATAAAGTTATCATTATTTATAATAATTATTAATGTAAGGTATGTACAATAAAGAATTTACAATACGATTAAATAGATAGATTTATTTGCTACCAGTACAAAGAGCGAGTGGCAGTATAAGGTGCGCTCCTGAGGTGCTATCGGCAAGTGCGACAATGGTGTGTCGGACGACATTTTTATGCCCCGATACGAGCTTTGCTCTTACATTTTGGCAGTTCCTGTCGCCAAAAGAGGACCTTTTCAAATTTCCGCTCACCTCAGCGATAGCCTATTTCATCTTTCATTGAGTATTTTATTGTACATTTTGTGGTAACATCATTAGTGTTCGTGGTATTTCAATTGCATCATTTACCTTTCTGTTTATTTTTTATATTTTTTACTGATAGACAAAAATTTTACAAATTATTGAATTACATATAGTATGCTGAAAATATTAAATAAGTTCCCATACATACTCTAAGCTAATTTACTATATCTGTTAACCTTAAACTTTAAGGCAAAGCAATAAAACAGATATATTGTTTGTTAATTTAAGGCTTAAATTAAGAAAAAATATATGTATCATTACGATGTATTCTAAAAATTAGATAAATAAATATGAATGGCCTTTGACATACATGTAATGTGTATTAATCGTCTATTATCTATATAAATATGTAATCTTTTGTAAGGAATAAAATAAATTTTATCAAATTGTATCAAAACTATTACATAATAATACTTACGCCATGAAATGACAACTACAAAGTTGTCCACAGCTATTTTGCATTACCAAGATGTCTAAAATTACCTTGGAATCTTAAAATAAATATAATCTGTTCATAATATCACTTAAAGCAATTGTAAAATTTACATCTAATAAAATAGTTTTAATTAAAATCAGTAAAATCGACCTCTTGATGTATAATTTCTGATAAGATTCTATTATGAAGCAACCAGAAGGAGACTTTGTACTAAAGTCGATTGCTTGGGTACGTCTGTCCTATTCGTGTTTCAACCGTGAAGCAGTTGTGTTTGCATGGCTGTGTTTCGGTTTGAAGGGTGGGATATGGCGTGAATTTACTGGGTACAGAGGAACCTGAGTCCTCAGAATGGCAACGCATGGGGGGTATCATGAGCGAAACAGTATACTCTGTTATGTCTATGTTACTGCTCATGTCTATAGGCGACAGTTACCACTTTCCATCAGGTGGGCCGTCAGCTTGTTTGCCATTGTAAGTCGTATAGAAAAAAAATCAGAATTTATTATAAGATTCCAAGAATAAGCAAAAAGGAAGAGAGAACAAATCATATTATAGTTCCTTTTAAACTTTCACTTTAGTACATAATCGTTATAATTATGATTTGTGACATATTATGTTGATTCTCATACAAAACTCAATTACTAATCGATGATGATGAGATGACTTTTCCATCTCATATAACACGTATATAGTAAATGTCGTAGTGGTAAAGCACTAAGTGGTAACAAATAAACCCACTTTCACATTTATAATATACTAACTTTTATCCGCTACCTCGTCCGCGTGAACGCGGAATGTCTACTGACCGGGATAGAATAACCTATATCCTTCTCCATCCCGTATAGTACGTGTTTTATAGTGATAGGTTAAGCCGCTAAGATGCTATAAGGTGACATATATAATAAATTTATAAATATCCGTTATAAATTTATTATTTATATGAAATTGATTCAAAGATATTATAGTACAAGCATTCTTTGCTTAAGTATTACGTGATATTTTCGCTAATTCCGAACCGATTTTGATAACTCTCTTTTAGTCGAAAGTGTTTACTTATTATAGAATTGAATTTGTGTTGCTGATGTTCAACAATTTTTTAAATTATTAATTATTAGTCTAACCTTAATATGAAAGGTAAAAAGGATAATTAGTAATGGGGACTATCAACCTTATTGGTAGCAATGTCTGATCGACTTCCATATGATCCTTCTTGGAAACCATCGTGGTAAAATCCTGGTAAAATAATCACGATGGACTAACTAACCTGACTTCTTAAAGTCAATAAACCCTTATATTAACCTTATTACTAAGTCTATGGCATAAACTAATATCAAATCAAACTCAGTTGTGTTTTGAACAAGGCTTTAATGAGCTACATCTTTGGTCGTATCATTGGTTAGACGAGAATGATACACATAAGTATTTGTACATTATGCGTCACAACATTCTTCACAATCACGCCATTATCAGTTGGAATGATAGATATGTACAGTCGTCAACACATTTCATTGTACTATTACACCAACATTTAACTTACACTCTATATAGAGTCACAATGGAACTGTATCAAACATATTACGACGACTGTACCCAATTAAATGCAGAAATAATAACGTGTCCGTAGACAATACAAATATTGATTTATATTAACCACTAAAGAAACTAATTTGAACTATTTCCAATTAAATGTATTGTTTAACACGTATTTCACAATTTACTATTTAATCAAAAATTTCATAGTCACCAATGTATGGATACAATATTCTACCTATAGCTAAAATATTTACATAAATAATACAAACATTATAACAATGTTTATAGTAAACTTAACAATTAATATATAACATGTAAGAAACGAAACAACAAATTATAGAATTCAGTTAAAAAGGAAATTCTCCAGTATCGACTGTATTAGGCTTAGCCAAAGAATTAATTTACATCGAAAATAGAGAAGCTAGGAATAATTACATAGCCAATAATGTTTTTACCCCACTATTAACGGTTAAATACTGCTGAATAGCTATTAAATTGTCAGGTATGTTAAACGTTAGGTACTTAAATATTTTGATAATCATAGGGATGTGCTTTAGTGATTTAAATATCCAAATGTGGGTGACATTTCGAAAAACGATAAACTTTTTACGTTTCGAGAATAAGGTCCAGTTTATTACAAATCAACCAGATAGATATTTAGTTGTTTGATAATCAATTACAATTATATAAGGGAATCTAAAAATCATTTAAAACTGTCTACGAACAACACGATTTGACATTCGATCCATAGAGCCAATCAATTGAGGGGACCTTAACAAAAATCGAACTTGATCAACACATTTAATGCAAGGGAAAAGGACTATTAGTAACAGAGATGTGAGACCCTATTGTTAACCACATCAGGTCGACCTCCACATAGTCCATCTAGAAACTATCGTAGTTGATTTCTAGTGAATTCAATGTAATACTAATATAAAATACCAACTGATTCGACTACATCCTCATTGTTATATCCTTCACTGAAGGATATAACAGATGAAATATACTACAGCTATTGTATACAATTAGCATAGGCGAGTAATGCCTACCGATCAACTCTACCCAAAGATAATAATTTCAATAGATGTCGCATCACGCCTATTTTACGTATTAGTTTTTGGTCCTTCTATCTCTGGATATATCTGTGGCTTTAAAAATTATGTTTGTAGACAGTTAATCAAAGTAAAATATAAATATTTTTAAGATAAAATTATAACAATTGTCTTATACATCCTCACAGGTTATGTAACGGTTTTATTTTAAATTTCAAATGACGTCATTACAACTTGTTCACTTGTATACTACACAGATAATAATGAATTTTAATTAGTATTTACATTAACATTGCCATTATATTACTAAAATACAATTCATACTCCCGTCTAAACGAAAATACGGCAGTCTTATTACCCGCGCACGTTGTAGCCGCACTTAAGTTGCATACACACTCGATTCTTTGTATTGACAATATTGTAATAACTACAATAGAATAGAGCAATTACATACATAGATAAACTAAATTACAATTAATTTTGTATTTTTTAAATATGTATTAATGAATATTCGAGCTCTGTAATTTTATGAAACATTATCACAGACAAAATAGATATTCATAAATAATTATTTTGACTGGTGCCTATAAATGTATTTCATTAAAGCATTGTATTAATTATTTGAGTAATTTAATACTTATTTCAATTTGACCAATACATGTTTTTATTCAAGTGTGTATACAGCTTTATACAGCCAGATTACTATGATAATTATATTTTTTTCACAGACAATTATGATTATCCTATACTAATTTAGCAAAATTGCCTTTCTGAGATCAACATGAGATTTTATGAACTTAATACATAAATATTTTCCAAACGTTCTATTAATGAAAGTAAAGTGGTAATGTAGGTGAAGATTTTTATACTTACCTACTTAGTTTATTTTTCGTAACAATCATAGCGAGTAACTACAGTTTGGCATTTTACTTTGCTTCTATATTATTCAAAGTGTTCAAAGATAAAGTCCAATGGGTTCGATTTAGGTGAGTTTAGACACGAAACTTTTTTCACATTTTGTTCTAAAGTCCATTTTAGTACGCCCGTTCAATTTTGATACTTGGCATACGGGTGGATCGCGTCTCACACGCGGTAGTCTCAGCTGGACGCTGAAAGCCCGAGGGGCTTGAGGTGCGGCGGTGGGGCGAATGGCGCTGGAGATGAACCTGACATATTATTGTTGAGGTCACCGGAGCGACTAGACCCGTTCATCAAACCCCCCATTGCGTTGCTCGTCTGTAAAGAAAAAACATAATTAATTTTCAACAGTCTGTAAATATATAAAAAGTATTAATATACTCTTAAAACTATTTTGTATAAAGACATGAACATTACGATTTGTGGTCTCAGATACAGTTCATTAATCTATACTCAATAGTTACCACTTTCAATCACACAAACCGTCAGCTTGTCTGCTATTCCTGCTATTAATATAAACAAAGATAGATAGACAGATAGATAGATACTCTTTATTGTTTCCTCCAAAAGATTACAATAATAAACTTATTATAAATATAAATAATTACAAGAAATAATCACAATGCGAAAACAATGGGCGATCTTATCGCTAAAAATCGCCGAAGGGTCTAATTCTTTAGTTTGTCTTATTAAAATATATAGTAAAAATTTACCGGTGGTGGGGGTAAATGCGTTGTCTGGCGCTTGAGGTGCGCTAATGGTGGTGGATTGTACGCCATATTCGCGAATACAAGCCGCTCCTCGTAGTCGTACTCGCATAGGATCTTGTTTTCGCATAAGTAGAAACGATCTCCAACGCAGAATCTGTCAAATATCAAATATATTTAGACGCGGTATAATTAACACAATACATTGTAAATACATAAATTTGCGTATTTTATCTATCAAGTCGACCTCCACATGGGTATATCATAGTCACTTATTTAATATTTGACGGGTGAAAATGGTATGGTAACCCCGCCTGCGCTTAAATACGCTGGCGGAGCACCAGTGAAGGGTGATAGATGAGAATGAAAACAGGTCACTAAGCCCATCATGATGAATTCATCAGGAATTAACCATGATAGTTTCAAGGGAGAACCGCGAGGAGGTCGACCTGGTTGGGTATATTGCTAACAATGGGATTCTCAGTCTCCATTACTAACAATTCCTTCCCCCCCCCCCCTCCCTTAACTTATCTAATAATATTACGTATAAATTATTAGATAACAATGTAGTTAAATCAGCCATTAACTGTCCACTGCTGAACATAGCCTCCACCATAAGAGGGGTTTAGCCAGTAGTTGCTCCGCTTAGCATGCGAGTTGGCAACCGCAGTTCGGCGGAGGGAAGGGATTGTTAGTGATGCAGACTACCAGTCCAATTGCTAGCAATATACCTTTTCAGATTGACCTCCACGTGCTGCCACTTGAAAACCATCGTGCTGAATTCCAGGCATAAACATCACGATAAGCTAACTGACCTGCCTTACCATTATCACTAGTCAACCCTCACTGGTGCCCTGCCAGCGTATACCGTTAGTGCGGCGGGGTTACCATTCCATTATCATCTATTAAAAAAATAGTAGGTATCATAATGTGTTCTAAATATTTTGTTCATAGGGAACATTTTATATATTTAATCAGATATGCTTTGAGTCATTCATTTTATATTGTTTACAAAACTTAGTTATATAATAATAGCAACGGAGGTACTATATTTACACAAATCTCATAGTATAAGTAGGTATGTATATGAATTAAAAGCTATCTAGTGACACGTTCAATTTATAGAACGCACTAAAAGGCTAAGTACTTATATGCAGAGTTAACCATATGGATTTTTCAAATTTACATACCGAAATAATTTACACCTTCGAAGCCGTTAAGATGCTATCTCAAGCATCATTACTCTAAAAGAAACCGCAGTAAAATGTCTAAGGAATAAAATTTACTATCACGAGTGGAAAGGTCAAGTTGGAAGAAGGAGGAACGATAACGTCACGCGAACGCACATCCCTCAATGTAGAAAACAAAAGGTATCGCCTTCGACTCGCCAGTGGCCGCATGGCCGCCGGAACTGACGGTGATAACACCGACCTTATCTCCCCTCCGGCCCCCCTCGTCTTCCCACCGCACCCCCGCGTCTCCGACCACCCTGCCAACTCTTTTGTTTCACTTGTCACAAAAATTAAGCGCTACAAATGTCTCTTTTTTAAGGGGCCAATTTCCACCGCAACTCAGTCGATTTCGCCGCTCTTAATTAACTTTATTTCCTGTTCTCTCCGTTGCCGACTTTTGTTTTTGGGGTTGTTCTCTTTTTATTTTTTCTATTTTTTGTCTGCAGACGCGTAATGGAAAAGATGTAGAACGAAATTTTAATGACTGTGCAAGTTAAGCTTTGTGCGGATCGCTATTGTGTCGCGACGATAGCGAAGCAGAGTTTGATGTTCCGCGCGACCATTCAATGTTTTCACTCGTTTGTAAAACAAAAGCGTTTAAGTACTTAGTTAAAGGAGGGTGAGTAATTTTCTTAAAAATAATTAATAGGTACGTAAAGTGGGTAGATATATTTATGTAATAATATTACAGCTACTTTTTTTGTTTAAGAACTAAAAAATGAAAATTAAGATATTCCGGTTACTGAATCCTATTCATATATAATGGATATAATAAATCCGAACGTTTATAAGGATGGACGGATTAATCGACTCTTTCCCACAAAAGCTACTAAACGGATTTGAATGAAATTTGGTACATGAATTGGTCTTAACACTAACCAACTTAGAACATAGATTATATACTGATTCACGCGGGTGAAGTCGTAGCACAGCTAGCAAGAAATATTACTAATTTGCTGGTAAAATTATTAAAGACTAAAAAAAAAATACAGACGAGCGAATTAAGAAGAATAATTTGATACCTCTTTCGTTTCAACATATATTTCGATCAACGTCGTAAAAATTAATATAAAATAGAATGCCATTAAATTGAATTTATAATTACTAAAAAACTTATCAGTATATTTGTTTTAGAACTGTAAGTATTTGTAGATAGTATGCTTTCGATGCGAACGCGTAGCGGCGCGGCGGCTAGGGCGGCAACCGGCACGGAAGCCGCGGGCGCGCCACCAGATTGCCACTAAATTATTTAGCCGTTTAGCGATATTCGCCCGTGATATCTGGCCGTCCGCCACCATCGGACAGGCCGCAAATTGGATTCAGATTTCTGCCGCCCGTGGAAATTGATTTGTACGTGATATTTAATAGCTACGCTTCATATTATTCAGTAAACACCGGGATTAATTACCTAAATATTTGCATGACTTTTAGCAACATAACAGGAAATTTAAGCTAGTAAATTCATAACATTTAGCCGGAGAGTTATATTTGCGGTATATATTTTACTTTACAGTGATTTCAATAATTAATTAGTATAGTATAGTAATTAGTCATATTAAATAATTAAGTAGTAACATTATATTCAATACCCGTGTGGACTCAGCATAGAACAAATCACCCGTTCCTTTCTCGTGGGTGTCGTAAGAGGTGACTAAGGAAGGGCCAGGGATAAGCAGCAGTGTCCCTTTTAAAACATCTCCAAAGCCTAACTGCGGTTGCCAATCCGACTACCAAGCGTGTCAACTACAAAACCCTCCTAGGGGTGGGGGCTTCTGTTTAGCAGTGGACAGTCAAAAATTGATATTATGATGATGATAATATCCAATAATAACTCTCCTTTATGGGAGAGACCTATGTTCAGCAGTGGACAAATGTTAAGGACATAATAAATGAAACACATAAATTATAAATTCCAAATGTCTCATAATTGCTGAGAATAATTAAGATTACTGACGCCAATATTTCGCTATTACGTCTTAATGGCTGATATGATGATCAATATTATATTCAATATATTTCACAGTCTACACTTTAACTGTGTACGATTATTAATACAGCTTGAAAAGACAAACGAGATAGTGGTCCAAATAATTGAAAGTGATAACTGTCTATAGACAGACACAACTATAACAACACAGCTGATTGGAGGCAGTAACACCAATGGAATAACAGTGCGCGTGTAGACGGTTTATAACTTTTGTATATAGTTAACATTTAAAAAATTTATTCTAAATCTGGAACACTGCCTAAAACGGTTATTCAACAGTTGAATCTGGATTCAAGGAGCAGTCGAATGAATATATAATTCGGTGAAAATGTCGCGCGAGATCTACTAACACGAGAAAGGTCCACAAGTGACATATAAACCATTCAGAGCGGCTCCAATCTTCGCGACCTTTCTATTATTTAAACGGACGCAGTCCGGTGAAGATTGCCGTTTTCGCGCTTGCATACTTATTCTGAATTCAGTTTGTTTACGTTTTGGGTGAGCATTATGTTGCTTTTTAAACTATCGCTTTTCAACTGCATTATAAATAGGGGGAAAAATACTTTCAATGCGACATCCAAAACCGGGAAGTTCTCAATCCATTTGTATTTCTTGTTTTTTTTTTTTTTATATGTTACGTTATCTTTAAGAGCCGGCGTTTTTATTTCCGAATAAAATCCTACTTATCATGAGCAAAATCAACCTCAAATAATTTAAATCTAAATGCTGCTATGAAACATTTCGTCATTTATTGTGTCTGTGTTAGTGTATGTGTTAGTATCCAATGGCTTTGTTTGCATGAATTTGGATAATAATATCCTATGCGTTAATTTAAATTTGGGTTAATTCGTGTATTGCTGATAGTTTGGCAGTCAATCTTTTATATTTATATACACATACACACACACACACACACATATATAGCTAAGCAATTACTGTCTTGAAAATTATTTGATGATTTAAGTTTTTTAGTTTATTTCCGCCGTATTCTGTATCAAATTTAATTTATATCATAAAAGAGTAATAAATATAACATACAAACATCTTTACAGACTTCTATATTTATAATATTAGGTGGTGTTTTAAGAGATTTATTTATTTAAAATGAAACACTGGTTACTTGGTAGACACATGAGAAAAATACAACATTTCAGAATACGTCTACGCCTCGGTCGGGTAACAATCGTCGTGCATCGCACAATTGAATTGAATAAAATAGTAATCAAAATGTGTGTAAAAGTTATGCAAACAAGGCAAAATTCGGCACTGCATCGGAAACGGCTTTTTTATATAAATATTCCACATTTCAATTTGAAACAAACACTTTAACCACAAAGTATAGCTAAACACTCATTGTATGATAAGTTCTACAGTAGTTATGTAATACTTTATTAAAATCTTAAAAAAATATAAAAGATTATACAGAAGTTTGTTAGTCAACCGTTAGTTGACCGAATTTTAATTTAATTTGATAGATAGGTTCAAATTAAAACATATAATTTTATCATATAATACTTTTAAAATATTTAGGTAGACAAGAATGTAGATTACACTACAGCTAATGTACATTATTTAATTAATGGTTAAGTATAATAATTATATTGAACGACATGTATTATAATTGTTACATAAAGCCTATTACAAAAATTAATATAAAATTATTACAAAATTCAATTCTATTCCTAAATATTTTTTTATTATATTATATTAATGCAATCATATACCAGAGCAAGAAATTTTATAGTTATAACATTCCTTATCTTTTGCTATCATTTTGTGTTCTAGTTATTAAAAAATTATTACTTGAATAGAATTTGTTCACTTTGTATTAGATATATAGAATGGCATACATGTATATTTAATATTTACTTTTCTGAAAAATGTATATCATATATTTATTTTTATATTAACTAAATTAAAATATGTATGAAATATACGTTTCACTAAGTTGTAATAAACAGTAATAAACCATTTGAAATTCCAATACATTCTCTTTGCTACACGTGGGTTTATTATGTAGCGGAAAATTTAATCGTACTCTTTTGCCTTTCGTGAGATGAATAAACAATATACATTCTTGGTACCCGATAACTTATCCCTCTCTTCCATAGGGTGCTTCTTGTTTTACTATCTTGCTCTAACAAGAAAAGTCCCAAATCAGACTTGTATTCAATATAGCAGAGTCCCCAGTCAATTTTCGTCGACACAACCACGTCTGCGACTCTTTGTAAAACGTTTTTGATAGTGTATGAACCAAAAAAATCTACTACTTACTAGTAATATTTAAACTGTTCGAATATTCGTATATGTTTATATACACTTATGGGTGACATAGGAAACCAGGTATAGAAGATACAAAATATTTATATTAATAGAAAGAATTTAGAAAACTATGGTCGTGAAACGGTGCCAAAACAGAGCAATGAAAAGATGTGTAAATTTTTAATATTGATAGATATAAAACCCCTTCCTTTCTCATGGGTGTCGGGAGAGACGACTAAGAGAGAATTCCATGGACGTGCGCTGGGCAGCAGCGTCCCTCTTAAAACATCACCAAAACCTAACTACCGTTGCTAAGCGTGACAAAACAAAACTTTCCTAATATGGAAAGTCTATGTTCAACAGTGGACAACAAAACAAAAGTGATAACAGCTGATACAATAAAATACACACTATATATGTATAAACTATAAAAAGATAAGTTGTCTGTACTCCACAACACCAATCTAAAGTTTTATAAATACTTCTGTGATTAAATAGAGCTGGCTAATTCCTAAATAATGAACTCTTTTAAGCCTATTTTATTGGGATATGATGTACTAATATAGGACATATTATGATTAGTCAATTAATTACCATAAAAGAGAATAATTTTCATTTATATTAAGATACAGAAAATATATTTTAAATGCATCCAATCTGTTAAAATCAGGTGTGACAATTTATCGCTAGGTAAATTTCATAGATAATATATTTAGTATTTTTATTACGAACCTGTGATTGCACTGTTGACAGGCGAAGCATTCGAGATGGTAAACATTACTTCGAGCTCTCATCACCATCTCAAATGCAGGGATCACCTTATTGCACGCTGCACAGTATCCGGTATTGCCAAATAACCTGTCAAAATAATGTAATTATAGCTTTATGAGAAGTCCACAGTGATTTATGACCATGAAAAATACCCTTAATCGTGTATAATATTACTATTAAAAATATGTTTACGATTTTACATACCAAAAAAAAAATATTATAAATATATATTGAATATATAAAAGTGAGTTTGTTTGTTATGTATGGCTCAACTAATTGCCATGAAATTTTATATACACTTAGTACTTGAATGGAGAAGGACAGAGGGTAATTTTATGGTCAAAAATCGATAATAAATAATACTATTCTGTAATATGTATATAGGTTTTGCATTTTATTTAAATCGCTCTTGTGCCATTTACGCAATTCCATCTGTTCTTCTTTAATCAAAAGTTGTCTGTAAGAGATTGTCTTAGCGACAAAGCCGCCTTTTGTATTTACCTTCTACTCCTATATGTCTATAATTTGATCTGTACTCTGTCTATTGTATTTTAATTTCTAATTGTCATTGTATATTTTTGTGTATTAGGTGCAATACAGAAATAAATAAATAAGTTACAAGTATTAAAAAGTAACCTTAAATAGTCTCGTTTGCAGAGTATGAGGTTGGCGCGTGTATAAAGTGTATGGCCAACTTCGCCCAAGCGACAATCGCAGCAGCCACATTTGAGGCAGTCTTCGTGCCATAATTGATCCAAAGCCTTGAGTAGATATCGTTCAGTGATAACTTTGCTGCAGCCGGCGCATATCTGTAACAATTGTAACAAATATTAACTTTAAGACTTTCATTTTATTGCGTAATACGGTTTTAATACAGGATTTAATACGGCCGAAGTAAACTGGACAAAATATGGAGATAATTCTAACAAAATAATTATATTTAACGGTAAAATTGCATTAATTTCTGTCTCTTAAACAAATGTAATACAAAATATATATTCATGTTTGATTGATATTTAAATATCAGTAAAGTCCATTGTCAAGTACTTATATCTACTATTTACTTATAAAGATGGACAATCCTTTTATAGTAATTATATTTCGCATATTATCGTACAATATTATTGCATGATATTTTTTTGTTGTTTATATGCTTTAAATTGTGTACTCAAATGTTCATTATTTGATTATTTTAAACACAGGGTATTTTAATTTAGAGACCAGGCGATTGGTATATTAAACAGTATAGTACTTATTTAGAGTTTATAAAAGTGATTTTACATCCAAAATTCTATTAAATCATTAAGTATATTTGTATTATAACAATAATATATAATAATACATTCTTGATTCAAGTTACCAGGTCTCCCACTTTTTTTTATACCTATACCATCTAGTATGTGGATCATACTAAAATTATTCAAATACAGGTAGCCTGAACGATTTTAGAATAGTGTTAGAGCTAACTTAGGTATTGTAATATAGTCCATAGGTTAGATAATTATTTATTTATATACATATTTTTGGTAAGTTTTACAGTATTTACTAATGCACTCACTAAAAATTAAAAAAATTAAACATTATAATAATACAATATTGAATAATAATAAAATTATAAATAATTGCAATACCTGTGGCTGTTGTTGTGGCTGTGTGGGAGTAGAAGATGGCGGCTGCGCAGACGCAGGCAGCGGGGACGCGCGGGCCTCTTTGGTCACATCCATGGCCAGCATATGCGCGCCCAGTCCTGGACTGCCGCCGCTAGCCTGCTGCGGCGTTCGCCTCTCGCACTGCACACAAACAAACATTCATTCAATCTACAAATGACTTCCAAAAAAAAAGGAGGAATGGAGACGAGAGCCAGGCCAATAATGAAGGCTAAACTCCATAGTGCAGTCATCTCAACTGATTGGTTTCATTATTTCCATTTGTAATAAGTTTGCTATTGTAATAGACTTTAGAGGAAACAATAAAAAGTATCTATCTATATAGCGGTTCCATTATCTTAACAATATACTCTGTCAAACCAAATCAGGGGCTCCCTGGAAACTATCGTTGCTAATTGTTATGAATGCATTACTACAATTCAATAGTGCCCAAGATATATCTTGCTTATCATTTTTACTGATGTATCCCATATTTTAAATGAACGTTGAATATAAATTGTAAAAATTGAAAATTGTATTATTCAAAAAAATATATAACAAATGTTTGTTAGATAATAAATGTAATAAATCATGATCTGATATGATGTTTCTTTTTGTATGTTGTGATATTTATGTAATTTACGTAATTTTAATAATGTAACGAAATGCTTTCTTACTGTACTGGGTTGACTGGAAGAGATCATTCTTTCAGAAAACTCCACCCTTAACAAATTTATAAATAGATTATATATAATAAAATATGATCTAATATGATGTTTATATATATATATATATATATATATATATATTAAATTTTATCACTTTTACGATCGAATATCGAATCGAAATAGTTGTCAATATTGCAGTCGGTTTTCTCAATTAAATATTATCTGAATCAGACAAGTAAAGCTCCTGGTTAAACTTTATTATATATAAGCATCAATAACTTTAGGTTATATATTATAATCTCAATAAAATGGTGTACCTTGATATTGTTCAGATAGTGCAGTGGATTACAATCTACTACTCAATCACCATAAGTTACAATAATCAACTTGGTGCGACAATTCATAGAGGCCGGTTTATGTTACAGCATAAAATCCAGAACCATGAAATTTGCCGCCCGTAATATTTCTCGAAAAAATTAGCACAACTACTCAAGCGATTAATGAGAACGTGAAACACGACCCGCCGTTTCAAACTATAGCAAATTATGTACCTAAATATCAAATAAATAGCAAATAAAAAAGTTGGTAATTGAGATCGTGTCGGGTAAAAAACGACCTGTGAGCAATAAAGTCAAGCACGGAGCTGGCCGACGTCACGCTTAATTAATATTTTAAATACGAACATTTTTCAATTAAATTTGGCAACTACCAGCTCGCGGTGGCGCTCCCTACTGATTTGTCGCACCGCTCAACCTTCCCACTAATATTTTGTACACGTCGAACTTGTTTTGTGGTGAAATGAAATTGGTATTAAATAGTGAATGCCGTGAAACAATGCCGACCATTGTACAGTTGTGACGAATCGCTCTAGTCTCTCATTTTTGTGTACTTTTCAGTGTGCGTCCGTTTCACTACCATAAATAATAGGACACGGATATTGAGCGGAAGTATGCACCGATCGACAAATTGTGTCAATGATTGTTTGTTTAATCTAAAGAGGAAGTTAATCAACTCTGTTGTGCCTTGCTTGAACCTAGAATAGCAATGGATTAGGTACATGCACCATAGCGCGTATCGAATCACTTAATTGCGTTTTATTGTAATAGTAGTTTATTTCTGATTTGAATGCATTTTTAACACAATACGCCTAGTTGTATCATAGTGCTCATGTTTCACTGCAACGCGTGTATGAAACTGCTAATTAGTGATAATAATACCTTAATGAGTGATAATAAATCACAGGCGAACCAACCCTTTGTGTAATTAATTCTTCATGTTAAACATTTTGGGTAACAATGTATTGCGTTAAAACACATTTAAAAATTCACGAAACGCTGGCGTAATTATTAATTGAACAAAAATGTGGGTACGCTATATGAAACGTTAAACTTTATTGATTTCTCCCCAATTAATATGATGTTCCCTGTAAACAAATAGTAAATAGTTCACGTTTTAAGTGAAGCTTGTCATAAAACTGGTGCACCAGTTTGACTTTTGATTTTTAAAATATAAACAAATAACATTGTACTCAACTATATTTTTTTGTACTATGGACTGGAAGTCAAATTATCGACGATCATCACAAACAAATTTGTAAATTTGAAAACTTTGAAATTATTCTAAGTTGTTCATATCACATATTAGGTATATGATATTTCTTAGCAATATGAAAATTACTTATTTCATCTGGTTTTCTATTTACAAGTATTTATTATTTATAAAAGGTTTAAAATTTCCTTATATCTAATGAATTATATATAATATAGACTATCAATTGTCTCAAAGAATGTACTAGATAGTTTTTTTTTTTAATAACTACAATAGTGTGTTCATACAGTAAAATCCCTAAACTAGACTACCAGTCTTACCACTTTCCACATCTATATATGTCTACTAAACTATAGTCCAATTGAATCACAGAGTAAATAAGTAGCTAGCAACCCACAGTGGAGTCAATAGCCCAGTACGGCACGTTCGCGCTTTCGGTGCGACATTTTTTCAAAGTGGACAGCCCGTGAAGCGAGCCTTCGTGAATAATTACAGATCGGTGACAGTAACATGCCACGGCACTCGGAAAACAACCCGTGGCGAATGCAACCAACCGAGATTAGACGCAGTCGAAGCAAAAAAAGCTCACGCCTTCCATTAACGCTGACTTTCGAAATGTCAATACGCACGAATTAGGATTTAACGAACGTCAACCGACGAAACGAGAATAAAACTATGCGAAAGTGATTTTACGTCGGTCGTACTTTACAGACGAATTATATTTATATTGACTTATTTCTAACTTCACTTTCGTTGTTTTAGAAATCCTTTATCAGATGTTTTTAGAATTATGTAAAGATGTTAAGAAACGAATCAACCAATTAGAACTTAAGGATTGAAAAAAAAAATATGAAACTATAAAACATATGATCTATTTGCACAGATATCTATATGTATATTTTATAGATAAATACAATATTTAAGTCATAGAAGAGAAGAATAAAAATGACAATTAGAAAAACAAAAAAGCAATAATTACGAGTATAAGACATCATTAGTAAATCTCTCTATGCGTATAGTCTACTAACTTTTCCCGTAGCTTTATCCGCTGGCCAGGATATGTTCACTGACCGGTATAAAAAGTCTATATCAATAATATAAATATGTTACATTATGTAATATACCTATATTTATCTACATTTTATATAGTATGTATATATAAAATTTCATAGTGATTAGTTATGTTTTCATTTTTTATTTCATAGTGATTGTTTATGTTGTTAAGGCGCTAAGATATAATAAACGAACAAACGCTCTTTTATATTTCTAATGTCAATAAAAGATGACAATATCAAAACCTCCTATATTCGTGTCATAGTGCGTCTACAGCCAGTTGTATCTAAATTTGAGGGCGCTGTAAGGGTCCCAGAGGAACCAACATCCAGCATCCCAGAGCCCGCAACAACGTTAATGATTAACATAGACGCGGCCCGAGACCAATTACGTGCTGCCACCACCATACACCAAATTAGAAACTATTTTCGCCCATTAGTGGCCAACTTCATAATCAATTACACGTTAAAATTTCACAGCGGTGTTTTGGGTACTCTGTTTGGATAATCGGAGTTTGTGGTCCCACGGCGAGCTATTACGTGCCACTGTACGGGTCATAAAGGTTTTTGCTGGACTGTTGGAAAATTTTAATGCATGTTTCGAATGCATTTCACTACATGTAACTATATTGCAACTATTACAGTTACAATGTGCTTCTAATACTCTATTTATATACAAATATTTTAACCCTGTTATTAATAGAAATGTAAATCTTTAAGTAAACGTATTCAAATTTAATTGGTTTTCTAATTATCAGAAAAACAATAGCTTTTTAGCTATTCATCTATGTCATATTTTTATGATGGTGATCATTCTGATAATAAAATCAGTGCTTCTTCATTAAAATAAAAATCGTCAAACCTAGACTTTGTGATACGAGAAGTCAAATAAAATTTAAAGTCATTTAAAGATACACACGACCTGAAGCAATTTGAAACATTTAAAATTAGTTTAACTGTAAAGTGAAACCAGAAACTGATACATAAGAAGCTATATTACGGCTTCAACTACTATATTACGGGTGTTACTTAGTTAATAGTAAATTTGAATTCTTATTTGAATTCCTAATTCTTAACGTGAAAGCAAATCTATCTGATTATTTTGTTAATTATTACGAATATAAATTATATAGACAATAGTCATCATTATGAATTCATTACGCGCAGAAGCTGGAATTCCCAATGATCAACATATTTGAATCCATAAAAAAATTTAATATTATCACGTTAAATATACTACTACTATAACTACCTAATACAATATCTGCAATAAAAAAAAAACGAATGGGTGGAGATAATAATAGCGCCGTAACGTAATTATGGGCAATCCAATCAAAAAATCAACTCCACGAATGTTGCTCCCCACGAAAACAAAGCAAATCTTCGGGAACATTTAGAGGCAGACTACACTAATAGAATTGAGTGCACTCCGCTAATCATAATTCATCAGCGAGATTAAAGAATAAGCGGCGGCGTCAAGGGGGGGAGGTGCTATGCTTCCTCCCACTCAGTGTGGGAGAGACAATATGATTGCCACACCTGCGGAAACGACGGCTAAAGTAACGAGACGAGAGGCTAAATAATTCAAACCACTACAATTAACGTGAACGTTGCTCCACATTACTTTTTGACGCCTAATATGAGAAATATGTAGGAATTAATTGTTTGTTTCGAGCTTCATTTTGATTTAACGCATAATTAACCGCGCATGTTATGCATCAAACGGTAGATGAGTTTACTTTAATTAAAAGTCATAATTAAGTTTCATGCTACATACACACACACACACACGCACCTTAATTTATTGCAATAATTAAAAGTGTAATTGTTTACTCAGCAGTTTAAATAAAGCCTTCAAATTTTAATAATCTCCGGA